ATATAATTTTCAATGAATAAATCAATTATCCTCAACATTTATAGAATAATATCCAACACAAATTCAAGTTATTCTATGGTATACGCATTCGGAAATTATACTTGTTGTTCTAAATTTCGTAGGTTGGAAATATTTCACTCACCAGGAGCCATGGGTTCCTTAGTGGAAGCGCCTAGCCTCCTCCGGCCGCTCGTCATCTTCAACTTCTCCCTCGCTAAAAATATAAAATGTACACTGCTTATATTCCGTAAAATACTCAAAATTAACCGAATGAACAAGCGATACTGAACTAAATCGCCAAATCGCCAACGAATGCCAAGCATCCGACGCGTTCGAAAAATGCATTTCTCCATGGCAACAAACAGCAGCTGATCGAATTACGCGTCTAATATTTCGCTTGTGCAAATAGTTTGAATCGCATCGCATCTCATCGCTAAAAACACACTCTTAGCGTAAATTATTGATTTTTAGAGTCGCAAAAACCAATTTGTAATCAAATGTCAAGAAATACGCGAGAAATCAATAACAAAAGGGCAATCTGGGGCGAACAAATTCGCATTTCAAGGCAACATGTGCGATGGCGACCATTTCGCAAAGGCCGATATTGACTTCTCACCTCACATCATTTTCCAGCTGCCGGTCTAAATCGCTTTCTTCTCCACTGTCCATACCATCAGCGGAGTCTTCATCTTCAAATATTTTTTTTCTAAAGCCATTTCTGCGGAGATAAAGCTCAAGCGTGGACGCTTCGACGATGAAGCCATCTTCAACGGTGAAACTTTAGTACTCAAATTAGCGTTGTGTAGTACACATTAAACTGTAGCCCTCCAAACTCGCCACATGATTTGTTCAACCTTTTAACGTCTACTGAGTTCCACACACCATCAGCAGTTTTTACTCTATACTTTACCTGACCAGGGTTATTAGCATTACCAGTGGTGCTGATCATAGATACTACTTTACTGTCCACCCACTGCAAGATCAAGCAGGGTGGATCCCTCTGCCACCGCATAGTACCCCTGGCTTTGTTCTTTCCCCATTCACTCCCTTTCTTGAAATTTTCTGGCATGTCTTTCCTGGTTTGCAAAATGGTACCTGTAGCAATGACTCCATGCTGAAATAAATGCTTAATGAGATGAACTGAAGTATATAAATTGTCAATAAACAAGTGATAACCTTGATTATAGTAGGGACTAGTAAGTCTTACCACAACATCATGCCCAAGCCTGAATTTACTGATCTCTCTTGCAGCATCTTTTCCAATGTAAATATTGATATCTACTGTATAATCATTAGAACTATCAGCGACTTCCCACAGTTTTATTCCCCACTTAATTGGTTTGTCCTTCGTGTACTGCCGGATGCCAGACCTGTGACGCGACCTGACCATACGCTCATCAACGGCCACCTGTTTTCTGGAATGATACAAAGCGACACATCTAGATTTAAAATAGTTAACAAAGGAATCTACTTTACGTAACTTGTCTCCGGGGGTGTCAGTTGCAGGATCTACAACATGCAAGAAGGCCATGAGCCCTTGAAATCGTATTCTGGGCATGATGGATCTTGCCCAAAGACCATGGTAGAGGGTCTTGGTACTCCAATACCTGTTTACAGTGATACCTATTTTCACTAAACCAAAATAGATCAGAAGGGCTATCAACCGTTATATCTCCTCCGGTGTTGTGTCTTTCCATAATCCATCGGCTTGAGCTTAAAAGATGAGTATGAAGAACATGTGGCAGATGCACATTCCTAAGGTATGATTCGCTCTAAAAAATATTGTAAAAAAATTAACTCAAACTTCAAATCTTGCGCACAATAATTATCAATTTACTTTTGATTTTTTCTTTTAGAAATGTTAGCCAATTTCAAGGAAGTAGATTAAACAAAGCAAACTGTGATAAATTATGTTTATACAAATTGTATTTCAACCTTGAAGTGCATTCAAAACAACAAACTTGATGTCCTGTGTCGCCATGAATGAAGCTGACATTGTGTGGTCTGGTAACACAGACCACGCACAGGTCAGTGGGAACACTGGCAGTTTCTCCTTCTCCTTTCCTTCTTATTCCTCCTCCTCCTCTTCATCTTCCTCGTAATCTTGGTCCTCCTCCACATCATCATCTCCATCAAATTCCCAGTACTCCCATTCTTCTCCCCACTCCTCTTTGCCCCAGTATTCAATCCCTCCCTCTTCCTCCTCGTTCACTTCCTCTCCTCTCTCCTCATTATCCTGGCCACTGGGCAACACTTCGGTAAATGTAATTGCCTTGATCCTGAACTTTAGTATTAAATATAGTTTATTTACAATGATAAGTGGTTGCTAACTCACCATCTAAAAAGAATAGATGATCTTCTGAATCTGAAATGATCTCGGTTTCAGCGGAGTGATAACTGCTGTTATAATCGCTCTGACCCACAGGGTCTTCTTCTCTGGTGATAGGGCCGCCAATAAACCCCATCCCCCTGTTAATTTTCGTTCTTCTTCTAATTGAAATAATTAAAAACAAAAAGTAGAATGTTAAATGGAATACTAAAATTTCTTCTATTTTTTAAACTGTTCAAACTCCACTTTGCAAAGTAATATATTTTTAGTTACCTGTTGAATCCCTTTCTCTCTTAACTCCTGTGAATTCAGAAGTAATATGATAAATTAATAAATCTTATCAATTACCTTGTCAAATTTTTAACATTTTTATCAAATTATGCCATTTACTTAGGGTTTAGAGTAGTAGTTTACCTTGATTCAGTCCACTAAGTCCAGAACTTCCTGGAACAGGAAATATCTCACTAGTAAAATAAGATAAAATCCAATGATGACTTTGATTTACAGACTCGATTTATCCTTTCAAACTCCTTGCTTTTCTGCTACTTTTCTCCAAAACCGAATACTGCTTATCATGAGTCAAGAATATGAGATGCTCTGATAAAAAGCAGTCAAACAGGGACATCAAAATCTAGACTAAATACTTTTTGCTATTGTGTATGATCCGTCAAGTTGGAAATGTCAGCTATTTTATCGAGAGTGAATGTAGCTCATTTCAATCAACCACCGGCGGATTTACTAGCTTCTACTGTGAGCTATGATGTGCTGTTTGACTAAGAAATACTTTTGTGTTTACAAACGCAAATAGGTCGCAGGCAGAAGTACTTAATGCGGGTGCATTTACTTCTCACTTACCAAGCCTCGTGCTTCCTCCATGATTGATGAACTGTTACCGGTATCAGTGTCAAATTACCAGGTTCCAGTGTTATATAATTTTGAGGCAAAAATGAAAAGATTGTTGTCCAGAACATGCTAACTGGTTCAAGGCTTATTAGCAATCTTGGCAAGACGCGAGGCTAGTTCAAAAGGGCGACTGGGTGAAAGATCACTGAGTAAAGCCCTTTTAAGTATGATTATTTCAGTGATACCAACCCTAGGGATGCACACAATCAGCGCGATCTAAAAGTGAGGCGTATGGAACTTTCGGTTCAAATCAAAGTGGCTTGAATGCTGATCTTTTTTTGAGGAAAATAATGAATAAAAAAAGGGGTCAGAAAAGAGAAATAAAAGAATATCACTCATTCGAGTTGGTCATTGCTTTCTTATATTTGGTGGCTCCTAAAGGAGCCTTTTGTTTAAGTGACTACCCAGCGGTAGGTCACTGTTGTCGTGCGCTCCTTGGGCTTTCGCTCGGCTTGCTTGTTCCGCTCACGGTGGAATGAGACCTTAAAAAGAGTAAAACTGCATTTTTGTTCCATTGAAAGATGGAAATACGGGCTGGTTTTCATCTACTCCGATGCCTGGCACCTGGCTTGTTACCTCTTGAATGAAGACATTCATCCTATTGTGTAAATTACTTGTGAGAACTGCTTGAGCATTACCATGAATGTGAAATGTTTTATGTTCCCTAACGTTGACAACAAACCTGTCATCTTCTTTTGAGGCTCTTCTGAACTCTTTCAATGTCAGGTTTGCTAAGACACCTGCACGGTTAGCATTATCAATTGATATTTGAACGAGAAGGAAATCGCGCAAAGGGTATACTGGCTTTGTGTAATTACTACACGGTGAGTACCACTTAGCTTTCCAAGCAAGATGACAGCATTCCTTGACACCTTGCTGTTTTCGAATTCTACAAATTTATCTAGGGTTATCAGCTCATGCCTTTCCTCCTCTTGACTTTCCCATTTCCATTGTAGGCTTGATCGTTTGTAAGAAGATTACCATTGTCTCACTCTTTCCTTCACCTGGGTCACCAACTCACTACTGACTAGAATTTCGTCTGGCTTCTCAGACAAAAGGAAGCCGTATAAATGACCTAGGCTCGTAAAGTAAGACTTGATCGTTTCGGGCAAATACTTCTATTAAGCATGACTTACAAATTTCTCCTTGATGAGAACAAAACCCAGCAGATTTTCTAAATTTTTCTCAGTGTCAATAATAGGTAGGATTCTATTGATTTGTGCTGCATGCTGTTTCACAGTTTTACTATCTTTCTTTTCACCATCAGGTGATTGCAGCCATTTTTCAAAGTTAACTAATAAAGCAGGCGCACTACTCTCGTCATCTTCCCACATGGATTCTCCATTTTCCACCATTCCTATACTTTCGCCAACCCCCTCCTGTACATCGACTGCACTCACATCATCAGAACTGAGCCTTGCCCTCTTTGGCAACACAGCTTCTTCAGCAACTTCTCCCCTCGGTCTATTTTTGACTACCTGAACTGAATAGGATCTCTTTTCTTTAAGAAAGCTTTCTTCAGCAGGCTTTTATACTCGTTAGATGAAGGATTAACTCCATGCACTTTTTTTATATGTGCCGCCAACCTTTCTACACAAGCTGAGCATCCTGCCAAAGGAAAGATGAATTTTTTGTGATAATTCTTGTAGACTTTTATCGGTTTATCTCCATGGTGTTTTCTCTTCCTATTTCCAGCCTTTGCACTATCTTGACTCTTGAATGTGTACTGTTTCCGCAACTTAAAGTTTGTGACAGCTGCTCGATACTGAGATAAATACCAGTGATGAACCTGTTTTAGATACCTTGAGATATGTACAACTTGCTTTCTACAGTAAGGGACTGGATACTTCTGAGTCATTTTCACCTTCATCACTGAAAACACCTTCATCACTGAAAACATCTTCAACACATTCATTGCATGACTGAAAACACACACCTTATCCATCTTCGCGTCTTCATCTTCCCTTTTAGGCACATATTCATAGCCTGACCCACAATCTTCATCCACCTCATCCCTCCCTTTACCTCCCTGCACGAGATCTCCTAAATTTTCTTCACCTTGGCTCACTGCAGGCTCTTGCCATGGCTGGTACATCCTTGACAAGCTCTCAGTCCACATTTTCCGAAGTTCAAAGGCCTTCTCAGATAACTGGAAGCAAGACAAAAAACATTAAATGAGCATTGTAAGTGAACAGTCAACGAATCAAAAAGATAGCCAGCAGAAAATATTACAATTTTATCTTTTACTTATTAATTAAATCTCAGACTTTCAAACAAACTCATACCATCGTTATTCTATTATCAACAAACATGCCAAATTATCCATATGGCAAAAACTTTTAAAAAGAAAATCCCTATGAAATACAAGCAATGAAAATACAACATTCAAAACAGTATACTTTCACTTTAAAGAATAACTATTTCCAAAATGGCGTCCAAACAATATTGTATTGTAATGCAAATAATCTGAAATAATTAATAAGAGCTGGATGAGACAAGCATTACTGCGTGCTTAATGGGTCTATATATGTATCAGAGTATTCTAACACAAAATGATGGCGAGGAAAACAGTTTGCAACCTGTTTGTTATAAATTAGATCTAGATCTGATTAGATTTAGATCTTTGTTTTGTTGACATACACAGATGTGTAAAGCCATACTTGCGAACAGATCACCCGAATTATACTGAGAATACTCACCACTTCTGCTTTCTCTTTGTTTCCACGTCTGATTGCCTGCATTTGCAAAGCCTTTAAGTCCTTTAGTCTTGCTATGATCATGTGATAATCCATGATGAGAAATTGCTTGCTTTGCTGAAATGCGAGTTTCGCCCACCACGTGCTCGAACGCTATTTCATATAACAGTTTCAATCTGTCGCCAAGTCACGCAAACTTGCAGTTTCTGATGCTTTTCATTACTGCAAACACGTCTCCATAGATTGTTTGATTGTTTTTTTGGGTCAAAGCGTGCTCTGTAGTTTACGTTTGATTGTTTTATTAATTCTAAGCGCGCTTTGTAGTTTATGTTTTATTGATTTTTTAGTTCTAAAGACACTCTAGTTTACGTTTGATTGTTTCATTAAGTCTAAGGGTGCTCCGTAGTTTACGTTTGATTGTTTTGTCAGTTTTAAGCGCGCTCTATAGTTTACGTTTGATTGTCTTGTTAGGTCTTAGCGTGAATAGAGAGAACGAATTTTTTATTCTTCATGAACAGTATTACTTTATGGAAGCTAGAAAACGCAACTGAGTAACCCAAATCTTTCGGCCAATGGCAGGTCAAGTCAGAGCGTCGATCTACAAACAGCATAAAAAAGTAATGAGCTTAGTCAAATGCAAAAACATACGTTGAGCTTTCTTGTGAAAGGGAATGTTGCTTTTGTATTTAAACACCAATTCCTATAACGTATCTCCAAAGATTGTTTCATTTTCGATCAGTTGCAGGACGTTTTGATT